TAGCCTTCCTCGGGTTCCAAAACGCCACAACGTCTAATGGCCTGGGTTGCCTCATCTTCTCAATGATGTACCAGGTATTAGAATCGGTCTGCCGGATCACGAGTGCGTCGGGCAATAGTAGACATAAAACTGCGCATAGAAATGTGGTAGTTGGCGGGGTTCTCATCAAATTTTGGCAGCTGTCGCACAGGAAGTCCCATATATGTTTGCACCAACTGAGCGGTTTCCAGAAGCCGATCGTCTTGCCTCGTGTTAGCATTACGTAAATGGATATTCGGAGGGTTGATAACAGTATCTTGTTCAACTGGGATTGGTAAGTCCTTTGGGTCTGGTATGGAATTTACATATCTTCTTACGGCATCACACCGTTCACTTGTTGCAAGACAAGGAGAAGTTTCCAAACCCCCAGAATTCATGGATCGAGCAATTTCGTCTAACTTCTCCATCTCCTGTTGAACACTGTCTTGATATTCCTTGATTCTTTTAGCAGCATCCGCCTCCAGCTCTAACTTTTTAATCTTTATACGGGCAAGGTCCAGTTCTCTCATTAATTCTTGCGTGGACAATCTGCTACTGGTGGATGCACGAGACGGAGAAGGCAGTCGAGACACAGACATAACGCGTCTTAATGTAGCCGGATATTGAACTTCGTACGGAATTTCTAGCCAACTTTGTACGATCCTGTGCTAAGGCCGTGATCTCAAAGCAAGGAATAGGTTACTTAGCCTAAACGCACGATCTAGGTGTCCTATCTGACAAGTAACGTGTAGTCTAATTCACCAACGGACGGTCAGTAGTAATTGCGGCGAAACCGAATTCTAAGAACTTCACCTGCGTTTGTTCAGTAGTCGCAATTGGGCAGTGAACAATATATTGAATTGGACTTGGGCAGACAGTACAGATAGGTAGACCGTGGTTCTACAGGAAATTAACAGTAAATCATGAGGAGAGTTAAAGAAAGGCTTACGGCTAGATTGAACCTTGGGCAGTTAGCAACACAGGATGGCACACGAAGGGCAGCGTGCTATCGGACAAATTAAGCGGGAAAATTGTTGTTCAGTTCAAAGTGGGACAAACTTTCAACAACAAGTCCAGAAATAAATGTAAACAAATCGTCTGTAGAAATGTTTGAGGAAGAGTCAGCCTTGTATAAAATAGAACGGTTCAGTCTTGAAACTTGAGCAGTCACGGAAGGGTGATGAACTAGCCTGAGGAATAGGGAAACAAATAACTACGTCAGGTAATTAACAGGTGTCATTTCTCCGAAACCTTATTCTGTCGAATAAATACTTCAAGTGAAAATGTGGCATTTTGCCGCAAGTATGTATACGGAGGCCAACCGTCCCTAACAACCGAAAGTCTCATCATTTGGATGGATGTTTCACGTGCAGGACCGAACCAAGGCATGCTCTGAGTGGTCAGAATACCCACCAATCTGGATCGAGCATCTTTGACTCGATGCTCCTCGCCCCCCACGACAATTCTAGCACGATCTTCTGTAATACTGTGATTACTGTATAAATACAGATGTAATGATTGTCCTTTTGTCTCCCTAAGAGCTGAGTAGAGCCACCGTGTCCTTTGATATACCGCAGTCGGCGGAGCAGGAAGCCAAGTGACCGATAGAGCGTTGCGCCACCGTCCAGCAAGTCACAACGGTATGCTTGCATCTGGGCACATATATTTTGCTTCGGTTTTGTTGTAATTTGTTTTGATCCATCTCGTCTCTGTTTCCAACATATGGCAGGCATTTCAGATTTAAATTTGCGGTGCCACTGTTCCCAATCAGTTTATTGAGAATCTGACCGCCATCTGGTTTCTATCATTCAAGGTATTTCAGAGGGGTCAAAGGAATATATGAAGGATAACTATTTAGTATTTTTGCGTGCAGCCAGCAGTCTGAATATAAACGCTGTTTTGTATTACGAATGGGCATATTAATAATGCAGCGTGCGGCCAACGGAAGATCTGGGGATCCGCAGGTTCTAGTAGGCTGAGCGCATTTACCGACAGGGACAATAAACGAGGCATTGGTTGTCCAGTTCGATTTTGCCATTTCCCCATCACCCTTTATTATCTGAAACAGTATCCTCAGGTTGACAGCTCTCCGCACGATCAAACTCCGGTTAATCAACGGCTAACAAAAGAGGTGTTCCGGCACTGGCATGGCCCTGTTGGCCCTGTATACAACGCCATCTTTTGAGGGGCGGCGTTTTTAGCCGATGAATTTGATAAGGTCCTTTCCACTCAAGTCATGTATAATGTTGCAATTTCGTATATCTTAAAAATTGCATCCCATCTTGAATGACTGCTTTCCCGGTTAACAATCCAAAAAGGCTGTCCTTTTGGTTTTGGTATAAATGAAAATATTTT